CGTCGCTGCCGCTGCTCTTTCCGCTCACCACTGCTCTAGTCGCTCACCGCACGCCGTCCACACTCCTTCAGTGCTCTCTGGTTTGAAAACGGCTGCTTTCTCTTTGCTATAAGTACTCTGTATTTCCTTGCAGCAGTAATTTTTTGAATTACTCATATTTAATTTTCTCTCTACATAAAAAAAATGAAAAAGAAAAAGAAAAAAAATATCTTCTGGCTTTACTTCATTTGCTTCAGTTCCTATTATTACAACGGACCGTTTAGTTGGAAGCGCTAACTATCAATCATGGGCCATTTCTGTGGAGATGTGGTTCAAAGGTCAAGGACAAATTGATCACTTGCTTACAAATGTCAATTCAGTCAAGGATAAGAAAACAATATGGCAGAATATGGATGCACTGTTATGCAATGTTTTGTGGCAATCCATGGACTCCAAACTTCACCTTACATATTAATCATATCGGACGTGTAAACAGATATGGGAGAAAGCCAAGTCTAATTACACTAACGATATTTAAACCAAAGTCTTACCCAAGGGATACTTCGTCCCAAATAACAATCAATGAACCAAGAAATCATATTTTGGTAAATGTCAATTGTGTCACACTCAAGGTCACAACATCTCTTTATGTATTGTTTTTCAGCAAAAACATATGTCTATGGATCCACCCCCACCACCAAAGAATGTTGGCGCCAGACCGCAAGTTTATATTGCTATCACTGGTCCCTCGACATCCCCTCATGGCTTATAGACAAGGGCATCTCTCATCATATCACATCTCACATTGCCAATCTCTCCCTTTCACAAGTCATATGATGGAACATATGAAATAGTTATTGGGGATGGATTCAATTTACCTATCTCTTACACGGTTCTTCTCTAATTCCTACCTCTTCTCGTCCTCAAAACCATCACGACTTAAGCCCACATTCCCATTGAGGTCGCCTCCTATGACCAACTTCTTTCCCCTTGGCACTCGTTGCACCACTTCCTCAAGATCCTCCCAAAATTGTTGAGCTATAGATGCATCCGATCCTACTTGTGGTGCATAGGCACTTACCACAGACATGATCTCATCTCCTATTATCAGGAAGTACGACTGCATCATGAACATTAAGTTGATAATAGGAGACGAGATCATGTCTGTGGTAAGTGCCTATGCACCACAAGTAGGATTGGATGCATCTATAACTCAACAATTTTGGGAGGATCTTGAAGAAGTGGTGTGACGAGTGCCAAGGGGAGAGAAGTTGGTCATAGGAGGCGACCTCAATGTGAATGTGGGCCCAAGTCGTGATGGTTTTGAGATTATCCATGGCGGACATGGTTTTGGCACTAAGAATGAAGCGGGGAAGAACATTCTTGATTTTGCCTCGACATATGAGTTGGTTGTGATGAACACTTGGTTCAAGAAAAGAGACTCTCACCTTGTGACCTATAGAAGTGGAGCTAATAGTACCCAAATTGACTACTTTTTAGTACGGACGACTTAGAGAACTAGCTACACTGATTGTAAGGTTATCCCAGGTGAGAGTGCTGTCATTCAACATAGGATGCTTGTGCTTCATTTTCAAGGTAAAAAGATAAGGCGGGTTAAGATACAAGGGGAGCCAAAGATAAATTGGTGGAGGCTTGAAGGGAATCTCCAACAAACTTTTGCACAAAAAATGTTGGAGGAAGATGTATGGTCCATTGATAACACACATGTGGATAATGTGTGGTTATCAATGGAGTCCAGCATTAACAAAGTGTCGAAATTAAATAGATACTTGGAGAATCTAAAGGATGTCTACCACCAAAAAGGACACGTCTTGGTGGAATGATGAGGTGAAACAAGCAATAAGGAACAAAAGGCAATGCTATAGGAAATTGGGCAAAAGTTGGAGCGATGAGAACACAGAGGAGTACAAGGAGGCTAGAAGAAGAGCAAAGAAAGATGCAAAGGAAGCAAGAGAAAAAGTGAACAAGGAATTGTATGCAAAATTGGACTCTAAAGAAGGAGAAAAAGATATTTACAGACTTGCTCGTCTTCGTGACCGTAGGACTCAAAATATCGGAAAAGTTAAGTGTGTGAAGGATGTCGATCAAAAGGTACTAATGCAGGACAAGGAAATAAAGGAGAGGTGGAGGTCATACTTTGATACCTTGTTCAACGGGAATAAAGTGCAAGGTATTGATGATCTTACTATACCAGAGTGTATGGTAAATCGGGACCTTTCGTGAGAAGGATCTAAATAACAGAAGTTAAAGAGGCTTTGAGAAAGATGGACGGAAGAAAGTAGTGGGACCAGATGGCATACCGATCGAGGCTTGGAGAAGTTTGGGTCAGAAAGGCATTGAGTGTCTAACACGCTTCTTCAACATGATTTGGAGAAACAACAAAATGCCAATGAGTTGGCGGAAGAATACCCTCATTCCCCTATTTAAAAATAAGGGTGATTTACATGAATGTGCCAACTATCGAGGGATTAAGCTTATGAGTCACACCATGAAACTTTGGGAGCGAGTGTTTGAGCAAAGGCTTCAAAAAAGTGTGAAAATTTCAGAGAATCAGTTTGGTTTTATGCATGGACGCTCAACAACTGAAGCCATTCACCTTCTTAGATAAGTTGTGGAGAAGTATAAAGACACTAAAAAGGATCCCCATTTGATGTTCATTGACTTAGAAAAGGCATATGATAGGGTACCTCAAGAAGTCATTTGGTGGGCCTTAACTAAAAAAAGCATATCACGTAATTAAGTATATCAGTATCATCATGGATATGTATGAGGCTTGTACTACGAGTGTCCGTACTAGTGTAGGGAGGACCACAAAGTTCCCTATTACTATCGGAGTGCACCAAGGATCAGCTCTGAGTTCTTTTTTTGTTAGCTCTAAATCCTTTCTTTTTTGCTATAGTCATGGATGAACTTACGAAGTCAATTCAAGAAGATATACTGTGGTGCATGATGTTTGCCGACGATATTGTATTGATTGATGAGACACAATCGGGTGTTAAAGCAAAGTTGGAAGTATGGCAACAAACGTTGGAGACTAAGGGTTTCAGACTAAGCCGAAGCAAGACTGAGTATCCGATGTGTAAGTTTGGTGGAGGTAGAAGTAGTAGCAACAATGGGATTACTCTTGACGATAAGGAGATACCGGTGTGTGATATGTTTCGTTACTTTGGCTCCATAATTTAGAGGGATGGTGAATTAGATGGAGATGTATCCCATAAAATCATAGCTGGGTGGATGACATGGAAGAGTGAATCAGAATTTCTATGTTAGCGAGGTATGCCGACTAGACTGAAAGGTAAATTTTATCGAACAACAATTAGGCTTGCATTAACGTATGTCGTAGAGTGTTGGGCGGTGAAACAATGTCACATCAAAAGATGAGTGTGACAGAGATGCGTATGTTGCATTGGATGTGTGGACATACTAGAAACGACCGCTTGAGGAATGAGATAATCAAACAAAAGGTGGAAGTAGCACCTATAGAAGATAAGATGCAGGAGTCTCATTTGCAGTGGTTTGAGCATGTGCGTAGAAGACCAAGTGATGCACCTATTAAACGACTAGAGGGGTGGAGAGAAGAGACAGAGAGGAAATGGAGGAGAAGACCCAAACAGACTTGGATTAGAGGAATCAGAACTGATATGCGTCTTCTTGGGTTGGATGAAAGTATGGCTTTGGAGAGGGCAAAGTGGAGGGCGCACATTCATGTGGACGATTGATCTTTTTTCTTTTTCTTTTTCCTCTCTCTTTTTCTTTTATCGTTTACCTTCTTTGTCTTTTTATGTTCTTATGTTATTTTTACCTTCTAGCTTTTTTATGCTCTTTTATCTTTTAATCTTTTATCTTTCTTATATTCTTGTGTTATTGTTATCTTATATTTATTTATCTTTATCTTATTCGTTTTATCCTTTTTTTTCTTCTTGTCTGTCTTTTCTTTTTGACATTGGTATCATGGTATTCATGTTAGCCAACCCCAACATCTTTTGGGATTAAGGCTTGGCTGTTGTTTTCAATCCGATGTATAAAAAATGATGGTATTAGTTTTTGTCATTATTCGTTGATATTATCATGTGAGGCTTCCACCTGTTGTATCATAAATTGATAACACATGTATATATAGCCGCTTGATGGCAAATGGCAATACGTGTACGGTGTATATGAGTTCAATTTATCATTTCCCCCGTTCTTCTACACAACCTGGGTACGATCCTGGATCACCAAATGAGACCGGCCAGTTCCAACTAGGCCTGGACTCGGGCCGGGCGGCCCGACCCGGAACCGGCCCAGCCCGGCCCAGCCCGGCCACTGTAGCAACCGGCCCGGCCACTGTAGCAACCGGCCCGGCCCGGTGGCCCGGTCCACCGGTGGTTCAGGTCGAACCGGCCCGGTGGTTCCCGGTTCCGGGCCCGTGCCTTCCATATGGTGAACCGGCCCGGCCGGTTCGGGCCCGGTCCGGGCCGGAAACAATTTTTTTTAATTTTTTTTTGAAATTTATTTAAGTTTTGGGTTAGATTAGGTATTTTGGTCCATTTGAGGTGGTTTGGGGTGGTTTGGGGTTGAGGAAGAGGGGTAGGGGATTAAATAAAGAAGCCAAAAAAAAAAAAATAGGGCGGGTGGCCCGGCCCGGAACCGGCCACCCCCGGTTCAGGCTCGGGCCTCAATATTCTGAACCGAGGCCCGGCCGGGCCCAGGCCCGAGGCCCGAATTGGCCCGGTTCAGTCCAGCCCTAGTTCCAACCAAAATTAATTGTTTTCATTTTAAATTTTAATAGGGTACAATAGTAGACAACTGATTTTCGCAAACGATTTAGGACTAGAAATAATCTTGCTCAAAAATTCCGATCCCAACATTTGGGTACCAATCGCCCAAAACCTGCCCAAATCCACCCCAAAGCTAGACTAGGTTAGCTACTTGAGACTAGCTCAAGTGGTTAAGTGTAGGTTACGCTATATCAAACATGTTAGACTTTTGTAATGTACCAAACTACCAAACCAGACCACGTGGACTCCAGGTATAAATGTTGTAAACGCAATGTAATCAAACAAGGTTCATCATACGTCTAAGTTTACCATTTCCAATGATACCAAAATGATCATAAATTATTCCATTGTCAACAAGTGAGATGTTATTGCTAAAAATATATGCCAACATTATGCCTGAAAATATTACAAAACTTTGGTACAAAAAATTACGAGGAAACTAGTGACTACGCCAGTAAGGGCGTATGCAAGGACAGTATAGTTAAGCTACACCCATCTTCCTTACTTCTTTGGACTTCTTGAGAAGTATTCTTCTTAGGCTGAACTCTGTGCTTGGGTTTCAGTACCCTCGGCAGCTTTCCATGGTAATGCACGTCTCGTGCTGCTCTTAGTCTATAATTTTTAGCAGCAGTATTGGGAAAAGTAATTGAATTAGAGGCCGCTCCATCATGAGACCAACCATTGGAATGGAAAACAGTAGCTGAAGATGGCTGTTTCCTTGCTTTACCCTCCTTCCATGTCCTAAATGAATGTTGTAGCTTTAAAGGAACCTGGTGCAGCAAATAGATGGAAGCCGAAAGGATTTTTAATCTTTGAATATTAATCAATCTAGTCCTTGGCTGCACACTATTACTCAAAATCTCGGGTATAAAATTTAGACCAAATTTAGTCTTGGTACATATTAGGCTCTAAATAAGAAGGGTATTTTTGTGCGTTCACTATACTTAGACCCAAATTTAGGAATTGATTTAGCTGTCAACTATGTGATTTTGACACATGTATTTTGTTACTTTTGGATGGTTTTTAATATATACTTACATTTCATCCAAAATTTTTGACACATGTATTTTGTTACTTTTGGATGATTTTTTAATATATACTTGCATTTCATCCAAAAAAGGAATTGATTTAGGGGGTGTTTGGATCTGATTCTTAAAACTCCTTCTGCTCCTTGAAGGAGCAGAAGCAGAAGTTGGAGTGTTTGGGTGAAAGTCCAGAAGTGATTTTGGTGCTCTAATTTACTCCTAGAATCAGTTTTTTAGAAGATGGGGGAGACCAGCTTCTGAAAACTGATTATGATTCTGTTTCTGCTTTAAAAAAGAAGCATAATCAGAATCAATTCCAAACACCCCTTTAGCCGTCAACTATGTGATTCGGAAACAACTTAGTCCTCGCACGCAAAAATACTTTCCATTATTAGTGTGAAATATGCTTGAGTAAATTGAGTTTAAAATGCATAGTTGAGGATGAAATCGATACCAAAAGAAAGTTCAGGACAAATTTGGGTACTAGTATAAAGGCGATGGACCAGATGGGGTATTTGTCACTAATTTTACCAGAAATGATAAAATCAGGAACTAAGAACTGGGAATGCTGGAAAACTTGAGCTGCCCTGCTCAGCAGTTTATTTACACTTATATAGGCAACATGGGAATATATGTACAAGGAAACAAATCAAGGGATTCTTACAATTAATGCAAGATATCCCTGCACTCAATGCCTAATAAAATCTTCCTATAATTACAAAGATTCAATAAGATACAAAGATATTTTTCTACTGATTCTCTGATTGACATCCCCCCTCAAATTGATGTTGGTTGATCAACAAGCATCAATTTGCCTCCAAGGAATTGATGCCGCTGACGAGGAAGAGCTTTCGTGAAGATATCAGCCACTTCAAGATTTGTGGATACATGGGGCAAGGAAATCACTTGATATTCAAATGCTTCCTGAATAAAATGACAGTCTACTTCAATGTGTTTCGTGCGCTCGTGATAAACTGGATTGGCAGTAATGTGAATAGCACTAGGGTTATCAACATGCAATGGAGTAGGCCTGGTAGGTGAAAACCCAAGCTCTGCTAGTAAACCTCGTAGCCATATGATCTCTGAACAGGCAAGAGACATAACACGATATTCTGACTCCGTAGATGATTTAGAAACCCGATCCTGCTTCTTGCTTTTCCAGGAAACGAGAGCAGTTCCTACAAACATACACCATCCTGTGGTGGAGCGACGAGTGTCTACAGAGCCAACCCAATCAGCATCACTATAGGCAGATAGTTCAAGAGAAACACCATTTGGAAAATAAAGTCCCTTGGTAACGGTTCCTAGAACATAACGAATAATACATCGAACTACAGCCATATGGAGATGACGGGGATTCTGAAGAAACTGACTAACCTGCTGAACAGCAAACGAGAGATCTAGACGAGTAATCGTAAGATATACTAAGCTGCCCACAAGCTTACAATATACTGTTGGGTCCGGAAGAAGATCTCCTTCATCTTTTTGAACTGGAGAAGTGCCACTAAGACCTGCAGAATCAATGATATCCCGAGCATACTTGGCTTGATTTAAAAAAAATACCAGTTGAACCCACAATAACCTCTAGCCCCAGAAAATATGAAAGTCCTCCAAGATCCTTCATATGAAAAGAACTATGCAAATGTTGTTTGAGCTGAGAAATAATTGAGTGATCAGTTCTAGTGATAACAATATCATCTGCATAGACAAGAAGCACTACAATCCCGTCTGAAGTATGTCGGAGAAACATGGATGTATCATGCTTACTTGGCTGAAACGAGAACTGCTGAAGTGTAGCATGAAACTTTTCATACCAAGCACGAGGTGACTGTTTTAGTCCATACAAAGAACGGTGTAACTTACAAACCTTTGTGGTGGGACTAGAGAAAAGACCAGGAGGTGCACGCATAAAGATATCTTCTTTGAGATCACCGTGAAGGAATGCATTTTTTACATCCATTTGACATAGAGACCATCCCTGGGAGGCAGCAATAGCAAGAACAGGCCGGATTGTGATCATTTTTGCTACAGGAGCAAAAGTTTCCTCATAATTGACTCGATATTCTTGATGATTACCGAATGCCACCAAACGTGCTTTATAATAATGATCAATACTGTCATCAGATCTAACTTTGACCGAATACACCCACTTTCATCCAAGAGGAGTGATATTAAGAGGACAAGACACAACATCCCATGTCTGATTAATTTCCAGAGCCCGCAATTCTTCCTGCATTGCTTATTGCCAACACTTATGTTTGGCAGCCTGTGAATAACATGAGGGAATAACAACAGATGCTACTGTAACAGCAAGAGCATGAGAAGAGGATGAAAATCCATACCGATCTGGTGGTACTGCACGTCGTGTAGAGCGACGAAGAGGAACCTCCTCAGTGCTCGTATCCTCAAGAGGAAGCTCTGGCACAAGATCTGATGGCAGGGAAGGAGGTGGCAAAGAGTCTGGCGGACGGCGTCTAGCATACACTATTCCTTTGAACCTAGAGCTAGGAGGACTAGAGACACTTTGAAACGTAGGTAATATGACAAAAGATGAGTTATTAGGAAAATAAGTATGATAGAAATACTGATTTTCAAAGAATATAGCATTCCTGGAGACTCGCATCTTGTTTTCTTGCGGATCAAAACACATAAATCCCTTTTGACTAATGCTATATCCTAGAAACACACAACGAGCAGTCTAGGCAGAAAGTTTATGACGTTCTGTGGGCGGAAGATGAACAAAACACACATAACCAAAAGGGTGAAGACTAGTGTACACTGGATGACGTTTATGGAGCCGAAAATAAGGTGATTCAAACTCCAAGACATGTGATGGAAGTCGGTTTCTTAGGTAAACTGCTGTAGACAAAGCTTTAACCCAAAATCGAGTAGGAACTTTGTATTCTATAAGTAAGGTCCGAACGATATCTAGAAGATGGCGATTTTTTCGTGCCGCAACACCATTTTGTTGAGGAGTATAAGGACATGATCGTTGAGATAGGATTCCCTTAGATTCAAGAAATGTTTGAAATTCATGAGACATATACTCCCCACCAGAATCAGTACGAAGAACTTTGATACTTGTGGAAAATTGAGTTTCTACAAAGGCAAGAAAATTTTGAAATGTTCTGAAAACATCAGCCTTCGATCGAAGAAAATATATCCAAGTGTAACGACTATAATCATCAATAAAGGTAACAAAGTATTTCTGATGAGAATGAGACACAACAGGAGAAATTTCCCAAACATCACTATGAATGAGCTCAAAACAATGGGAAGCACGACTACCATTAGATGGAAAAGTAAGAACTTTGCTTTTGCCTAGTTTGCATGATTCACAATCAAAATGAGAAAATATATTCTCTTTATTACCCAAAAGACCTAGACGTAACAAATGAGAAAGAACTCGAGGATTTGGGTGGCCAAGTCTCCTATGCCACACTGATCCTGAATTTTTATTACATGCAAAAGCAGAAACTGAGTTATATCTTGGAAAGTGTAAAGGAAAAAGACGTCCAATCCTAGGCCCCTACGCTATCAGCTCCCCTGACACTTGATCCTACACAAGACAACCATCACAAGAGAATTTCACATCACATTTATCATCAAGAAGTTGTCCAACAGAGATAAGACTTGTAGATAATTTGGGACAAACAAATACATCTTTAACCCGATGAGAAATATCACCAATTGCGGTAATAGGCAGCTTATTACCATTGGCAGTTTCAATAGATAAAGAACCATCATATTTGCGAATATTATTGAGTCCATGTACTGAATGTGTCACATGATTGGAGGCTCCTGAATCTAGAAACCAATTAGAATAAGGTAAAGAGTTACCTTGAATTCCCAATGCTGAGAAAGTAGAAATTATGATCTGATGTACCATTTCAGGTGTAATAGAAGTGGCAGAAGTAGAGACGGGAGTATTTGACACGTTTGGAGAAGTGACCACAGCTTCTGTGGTAGCCTGATATGCGGTATTTTTCCTGCGGGGTGGACGAATAGAGCCATCTTTGATGATATGTCCGAGCTTCTTGCAATAACTGCATACCTTATTAGGGCAATGCTGCGCAATGCGACCGTAATTCTTGCAAGAATAACACTGTGTGGCACTCATATCTCTAGTGTGAGGCTTAGCTTGAGTGACATAAGCATCAGGAGTGTGACCTTGTTCCAAGGTAGCCTGGGTAAGTAGACGCTGCTCTTCACGAAGTAGTTCCCGAAGGCAAACTTCCAGAGACGGAACTGGATTCCTATTCAATAAAGAGGAGCGAGTGTTCTCAAACTCGGAGCGCAGTTTCATCAAGAACTGCCTGCGCTGTCGTGCTTGTAACATATCCCGAAGAGGCTCAACAGCAGTTTTAGGGACGTCAGCGAGACATAAGTCGATATATTTAGTCCAAAGCTCTAAAAGACTGGAAAAGTATTGCTGAACAGTTAAGGAACCTTGTTGAAAGTTAGAAATATCCAACTCCAAGTGAAACTGATGGGCTGCATTATCCTGATGATAAACTTGTCGTAGATAAGCCCACATGGCTTTAGCTGTGCAATGGGAGCATAGGTTAAGAATAATATGAGGATTGAGTGACCCTAATATCCAACTGCGAATTTGAGCATCTTTCACCTCCCAAGTGTCATCATGAGTGGCAGAATTCTGTGTGGAAGAGTCATCCACGTGAGCCCACAAATCCTTTCCTTTCAGAAAGGTTTCAAATTGAAACGCCCAAGTAACATAATTCTTGCCATCAAATCGAACACACAAGTTTTCTAATTTATCCATGATAACAAGAGAACAGAATAAATCTGAGAAGGAAATGTGTTGATCTGAGATAGAAGATGGCTGGAACTAAGTGTTGAGATGACAGAATCTGAGAGGAAACCCTAGGGTTTGTGTTTAAAACAAAAAATCTGAGACGTCGAGCAAGAACTCCAAGAACAAACCCAACTGAATTTTAGGTTTTGCTGAAAAAAAATGCTTATGGCTCTGATTCCATGTCACTAATTTTACCAGAAGTGATAAAATCAGGAACTAAGTAAAATCAGGAACTAAGAACTGGGAATGCTGGAAAACATGAGCTGCCCTGCTCAGCAGTTTATTTACACTTATATAGGCAACATGGGAATATATGTACAAGGAAACAAATCAAGGGATTCTTACAATTAATGCAAGATATCCCTGCACTCAATGCCTAATAAAATCTTCCTATAATTACAAAGATTCAATAAGATACAAAGATATTTTTCTACTGGTTCTCTGATTGACAGTATTAACATGAAGATATTGAGGTACTACTCATATCATGATGGTCTTCCACCTAATCCAATTAATCTCTCAACTAGACGCTAGACCCTAGTCTACCGCCAGACAAACCAATACACTTCTAACAGCAACAGGTCAGAATAATATCAAAAAAACAAAGTTAAATGGTAATGTAGTAGCTCTTACTTGGAAAGCAATAGAACATGCAGCAAATGGCAAAGAAGATTCTCCATAGGGAGACTTTCCAGGTTCTTCTTTGTTCCCAATATTTTCTTTAGCCTGCTCTTGATTGTCAACTGACCCAAAACTAAATGAAGAACCAGCAGTAGCAGTGTCGTCATCGTCTTCATCTTCCTCTTCTTCCTCCCTGTTTTTCTCAAATTTCACGGAGTGCTTAGGAGTGCCATCTTCTTCCTCTTCATCATGGATACCCATATCCGCTGCCTTCTTTTCCTCCACTTCCTGCATCATCTTGAATGCACTATCCAAGTCATCAACTGCCTCATTCAGAGCAGATTCTGCTTCTGCCAATTCGTATTCCTTCTTTATCAACTCCATCTTCATCTCCACGCCTTTCTTGTGTTCTTCCGACCATTTCTCCAATCTGGTTAACATTGGTTTGAAAGCGCTTTTTACAGACGAACAAATACTCTTCAGAAAGTGTCCTCCTTCCACATATGTTTCTTTCCCATAAAACTCATCAAATCCTAAAGGAAGGAATTCAATATGTTCTTCTTCTTCTCCTCCATCGGTGTCTAGGTACTCATCTCCCTCTTGAATATCAGGTGCCCAGAATAAACGGATCCCGTGCTCCTCATCCTCTAGATAGTCGATGAACCTTCCAGTTGGTACATGCATTATGAGGGGGTCTTCAGTGTCTATGATTTTTGATGGATCTTCAGGATCAGGCTCTGGTTCCTTGTTAAAAATAACAAATTCTTGTTCTTCGTCTGATCAAAACAAACACACAATATAAATTCAATGCTTGTGCGGAATAAACCCAAGTGTTACAAGTTTTCAGATAAAAATAACATTTTGATTATTCCTGTTATTCTAAATGAACCAAGTGAAGTGTTTGGATTCATCATGTTGAAGTATTTGACCCACACTGGCAAGGTACAAAATAATATTCAACTAATATACAAAATCATTGGCCGCTTCAGCTTGACCTCTTAGAGTAGAATCTCATATCCTAATACATCAAGTTTTTCTTTTTGTGCCACCAAGAAATAGGTGAACCCTTTTTATAAGCGAAAATCAACTATAGAACTTAACCCACTCACAAAGTCCCAATATACTAAGTATTATTGAGCATTCATACATGCGCTCTTTAGTAGTTTCTTTGAAGTGTAGTGAGGGATGATTATAGAAAATGAGGGACTGGTTCTTTCTTGATAAAGGCAAAAGCTTTTACCATTGGCCCACCAATGCTCAAGCTCTGCAGGCATAGGCAACCTCATAGGAGATTTGTAAAAAGAATTCAGCCACAATTCCCTTTCTTCATCCACCTCATGCACATACATCTTCCAGTAATCAGGAACCTGTCTCAAATTTAAAAATCCTATTAGACATTCCTGCTTGAGTATTTATTCCCTTTGAAATCTTAACAGAAATGTAATCAACCCAGTAAACGTTTGACTGACTTCATAAAACTGGTTAACGAAGCCCGGTGCCATCCACACATCATCTTCTTCATAGAAATAGGGGTGCTGAGGATCACCATAAGGTCCTCTTTCTTCTCTCACCACTGTCAGGAAAAAAAACCAATGTTTGGATCAGGAAATGAGTAACATTTCATGTATGACCACTAAACCATAAAAAATCTTTATCATTTCATATATATGGGGAATATGATAAGTATGCCACATACTTCCATCAGGTTTGTTAATGAACATTCTAGCTTTAGCTGCAGCAACTTCTGCTATACTGGCATGCATCTGAAATTAAATGTCAGAAATATGTCACCCACACCTCTGAAGAACAACTTACTACATGTTACTCTTCAACTTACTGCAGAAATTTCAACATCACAGCCATAAGTATCCTGGTCAAGAAATTCTCCAAAGTAGAACCGGCCCTGCATCATATAGTGAAGAGTTTAGCTCATGATAGGTCATGGTTCAATTTAACTGTGTACGCTGTGCAAAAGACTCACCACTCAGCCTTTGTTGGGCTTAGGGAAGAAACAGATCAGAGAGAAATCAGAGACAAAAAAGAGAGAAATCGGGCAGATTTTGTGTGTTGTTCAGTCAGAGAGAGACCCATTTTCTCCTTCTAACTTTTTCCAAACCAAACAAAAGCTAAATGCCTAAATGGTAATTATAATGAGAGCTAACATATTGCAGAGAATTAGATTTGATTGAAGAAGTATGAGCTACACTTCCACCACTTAGACGACTGATCATTTTGTCTAATTCACTAGCCAGTAATTTAGCCGTGAGTAAGACAATATGATGATTGAGTAAATATTACTACTGATTGTATTATTTACTCAACCATCATACCACGTCATATGTTGTTTTCAATCAAGACAAAATTATAAATTCTATAACCTTTCATTGATTAAAACTCGTGTTCAACAACTTTCCTGTTTTTTATTCATTTTCAAATTATTATCAAAATTATACAATTTATTTCAACTTAATACTCGTATGAGTTAGGAAATACAGCCCCATGGAGGTCGACCAAAGGGTAATAACGGAGGATGAAGAAATAGAAGAGAGGTGGAAGTCGGACTTTGGTACATTGTTCAATGGCAATAAAGCGTGTGATATTGATGATTTTACAATATTAGATTATCTGGTAAATCGAGATTTTATGAGAAGTATACAAACGTCGAAAGTTAGAGGCTCTCGAAAAAAGAAGTGGAAGAATGCAGTGGTCCGGATGGAATACCGATCGAGGTCTAGAGAAGTTTAGGAGAGAGACGTCGAGTGGTTAACACGTTTCTTGAACAACATGTGGAGAAACAACAAAATGCCAGTGAGTTGATAGAAGAGTGCAATTGCCGGAAGAATACTCTTATTCCATTATTTAAAAATAAGAATAAGGGTTATGTACAAGAGCATGTCAACTATTGAGGGATTATGCTTATGAGTCACACCATGATACTTTGGGAGCGAGTGATTGAGCAAATGCTCCAAAAATTGTGAAGATTTCGGAGAATCAATTCGATTTTAAGTCTGATTTTAAAGTCTGATCGCTCAACCACCGAGGTCATTTACCTTTTTAAGCAACTTGTGGAGAGGTATATTGAAACAAATAAAGATTAGCATTTGTGTTCATTGACTTAGAAAAAGCATATGATAGGATACCTCGGGAAGTCCTTTGTTGGGCCTTACTAGAAAAGGCATATCGTGTAAGTATATTGATAGAGTATATGGGCCCAGACCCCATGGCCCACATACTCAAAGGATCAAACTATTAAAGATAGACACCCATGTGACGTCCTTTCGGCCAGATGGCTCCCCCATCGGCCAACAAGGTGCCTCATCGGCCAGAACCAGAATTACTCAGGATGCGATCGGGGATCGCATCGGCCAAAGGGTACCTCGTCTGGCAGAATAATTTCTACACTTAATCAAATAAATCATGTATTCAGCCCAATAGAGGCCTTATTTGATAGGGACCTACCTATCAGACTAATAATAGAAGTAAGAATAATAATAAGGGTATAGTTGTAATAAGGGTATTTGTAATATTGTTGTATAAATAGATGAAAAGGGGAGTTAGTAGGCAGGCTTTTAGACGGATAGTCTTAGGACTTGGGAAGATACGAGACTGAACATCTCTATCTTTTGGGGCTTCAGCTTTGGGAGGCTTCGGCCTTGGTTACTGTCTTCTCCTGTAATCGATCACCTTCATCAATAAAGTTCTCATCAGTTTTTCTTGTTAATCTTTCCATAAATCTTCTGAATTTCTGGAGGTATCTATCATTGGTATCAGAGCGAGTCGTTCGCTGGATGAGTTACACGCTCGCAAGGATGGAAAGACGAATCAACGAAGTTGAGGAAAATTTGTTAGAATTTGGAAAGAATATGGATAGAAGTCTGCGGAAGTTCCAGACGGATATGGAGGCGAATCTGGCTGCGATGGAAGCCGCGATACAAGCTAGCATCGCAGATGTGCAGAACAGACTTCAAAATCGGTTGCGAAACCGATCACACGCGTCACAATCATCACATCGCGACTCTCATAACCACACGCGAAAGACAGATCGATCGAGAAGTAGATCGCAGACCTCAGCTGCATCACCTCGCTCAACTACATCGCATCATCAGTCGCGACACTCAGCGAGTTCAGAGGAATTGGAAGATCAGAGGCGTCGCAGAAGAACTGAAGAACGATCGAGGAAGAATAGGTCTCTTCCGCTAACTGACAAACATGGTTCGTCGCATCCCTCTTCTCATCACTCTTCGCATCACTATTCACAGAATTCCTCTCAGACTGTCAGTTCGCTTCCAAGAAAAACGCGAGTGACGGAAAAATCTCCATCTTCGTCGCTGGACTATTCTTTCAGTTCACATGCTTCTTCTATTGCGGAATTTCACAGCTCATCAGCACCCAGGTCTTCATCGCTGGTGGTTCCACACAGTGCGCAAGGGTCGTCAGCCAAGAAATTTTGACATAGGCGCATCAGGAAAAGAATCCCAGGGGACCCTACCAACAAAAATGAACACAGAATTAAAATCGGTGGTCCCTTCAGTTAGGGAATCAGACTCTGAAAATGAGGTTAATCAACCTATGAGATTTTCATCAGACAATAAGGAAGATTCAGAAATACTTAAACCAAATCAGTGTTTACCAGATAATTGTTTGGAGGGGTTGAATAAGAGTGATTGTTTCAACATTGATGTTGTTACTTCTAGGAAGTGTATTCAGAAGGAGCTGAGCGTACAAATTATTGGGAATCATGCAGTAAACGAAAATGAAAATGTTAGAGGAATGCCAGTAGTATGTAAACCTGTTCAAAAGGGAAGGGTAGGTTTGGAATATCTTCATATGGCTATTGTGTTTGCTTTCCACAGCTATGAGAAACTCTATTCACCATTCTGGATGATCACACTGAAGAAAATGTTATCCTTGTCCGATGATCCCGCTTTGTCGATTCCCTATTATGTGGCTATAAGACCAACTTGTAGGGAAATTGTTAGATCCTATCTTGATTCTGCCAGCCTCCAGCATCAGCTACGAAGATTTAATGACTATGGTTCTTTAAATGTGTTGGAATCTGGTGTTGAGAACACCAATCTGATCAAACTCTGGGAAGATGATGATCTGGAAAGAAACAAATGGGTCTTACTGTGAAAGACATTAGAATATACTTTAGAATATTCTTCTATCCTTAGAATATACTTTAGAATATTTTAGGAATATACTCTAGGATATTATTATTGTATAGAATCTTATAGGAATATTCTATCTTTGTAATGTATATTTATAGGGACTTAACCCTCCAATGAAATACACAGAAAATCTTTCTCTCCATCTTTAATATCATTTTAGTTTGTATTTCAACATGGTATCAGAGCCATCTCAATTTAGTTTTTCTTTTCAGATTTCAGTTCAGTTATTCATATCTCAGTAGTTTTCAGACTGGGTTCCTTTCTCCAAGAGCTGATTTCAGTCCAGAACCTCAGTCCAGAACCTATTCCCAGAACCTCTTCCTAGAACTTTTCCCCAGAAATTTTCTCCAGAACCTCTAGGCACCATTCTGTCTTCTAGAAAATCACTCAGTACAGATCCTCTACAAACCAGAACCTCTATTCAGAACCTTTGAGAACCTTGGTATAGCTCAAACATCTCACCTCTATTCTGGTGCGCCCGCCATCTACGCCCAGGTGTTCAAAGTCCGCAGTTCCAAATCAACAGCCTCCGGAGGTGCTCACCGCCGCCGCACGCGCCGACGCGTAGCTGTAGTTGCTGGCCGGAGATTTGATCGGAATTTTTTCCTGAGACTCGCCTGAGATCCTCTACCACCAGTACCACCAGGTAGACCTTACTTCTCTCTCATTCCTTCTTCAGAAAGGGGCGGAATATTTGTGGGACGAAGTTTTGCGTTGGTGTTGGTCGCTGGCATCGACTGAATTGCTCGCTGGGGTGGCATCGACTGAAATTTCGTTGTTGCTGGATCTGGGGCGGATTATTCACATCATCAGCACATCTATTTTGAAGCAGCGGACCAAGTGAGCTGGAGTCGGTACTCTATAGCGGTCAAGGCCCTAGCAAAATTGGTTATTTTATTCTAGAATTTTGACTTAACCAACGGGAACCGCTGGAGTAAGTTCTCACTGAATATTTCAATTTTGAGCTCAATTTCTGTCTCAAAAAAAAAAAGTCAAAAAAAAAAGTCAAAAAAAAAAGGTTTGTACGACTATGTTTGGCAGAGGGGTGGTATGCAATTACTGTAAAAAACCTGGACATTTGATCAAGGAATGCAGAAAATTGGCTTTCAAGAATCAAGGGAACCTGAATGGTGATGTTGCTTCCGCTACCAATTCATTTGACGGATCAGTTATGCTTTCTTCAAATGAGTATGCCAAATTTCTTTGCTATCAAGATTCTCTAAAGCATTCCTCTATTCCTATCTTGGATGTCGCGAATTCAGGTATTTCAAAAACATGTCTTGTTTCATCATCCTCGAAATGGGTCATTGACTCAGGTGCCACAGATCATATGACCGGTAATCCTAGTCTATTCTCGTCATTTCATTCATATTTACCTACTTCTAGTGTCACTTTAGCTGACGGATCTACCTCACCCGTTCTTGGATCCGGTACTGTTGTTCCAACTTCTACATTACCATTATCGCCTGTTTTGAGTCTTCCTAATTTTGCATTTAATCTGCTTTCTATCAGTAAAATCACGCGTACTCTTAATTGTTCTGTAACATTTTTTCCTGGATATTGTGTGTTTCAGGATCTGTTAACGAAGCAGACTATTGGTAAAGGACATGAGTCAGCTGGTCTTTATATTTTGGATACATCCATCACAAAAGGTATCTCTTGTCTTGGGGTTGGAACTTTGTTAGACGCTCATTACCGATTAGGACATCCATCTCTCCTATTAATGAAGCAA